TTATCATCTATTTTTTGATGAGATGGATTTCCAAAGCAGTTTTAACTCTCCTTTTCTTTTTGGCTAATGTTATTGAACACTTTTCAACCATCTATTGGCCATTTACATTTCTTCTTCTCTTTTAGATATATTATTTTTTTTTGAAATTTCTTTATTATTATTTTTTACATCTTAATCATATTTAGACCCCCTCCCTATTCTGTATCTCCCTTCATTCCCTCCAAACTGGATTTCATGCATTCTGTCATATATATTAAGGCATACCAAATCAAGTTTGTGTACCCAGATGTCCCGCAGTGCAAGTACATTCATTAGGGTCTAGTCAACTTATCTAGAGCCTCTCTGTTTTAAAGAAGATCAATTTTCCCTCATCCAGCAGTAACCAGCTGCCAATAGTTCTTTGGCTAAGGTTGGGCCTGCTGCCTGTTTCCCCAGTGCTGTGCTAGGTTTTTGTCTGTTTGGATTTGTATGGGTCTTGTTGTATTTCTTCTTTTTAAAATATTTCATTTATTATTTTTATTTTATATGTGTTTTGCCTGAATGTATGTAAGTATACCGTGTATGTGCAATGCCTGCAGAGACCAGAAGAGGATGGTGGATCCCCTGGAACTGGAATTATGGCTGGAACAGAACTGGGTCATCTGGAAGAACAGCATGTGCTCTTAATCACTGAGCAATCTCTCCAGCCCCAGCGTTTCTTTTTTGGAGAACTGTCTATTCAGTTCATTAGCCTACAGATTGAGCAGATGATTAGCTTTCTTGGTATTTAATAGTTAGATGTTCTAAATATCGATTCCTTGCCTGTGGTATAGTTAGTAAAGATATTTTCTCCATTCTATATGCTGCCTTTTCACTCTGGTGATTGTTTTACTGGGAAGAACTTCTTGCTTTCATATACTCCAGTTTATCAGTTCTTGGAATTATTACCTGTGCTATTGGAGTTCTTGTCACAAACTCCTTGTCTATCCTATCCTTTTAAAACATGTTTTAAAATTTTTTAATGATTATTTGAAAATGTCATACAGTATATTTTGATGATGCTCAGACCCCCTCTCCCATCTCC